GAGGTGAGGGGAGGAAACACGGGGTGCTGGGGGTGCTGGGAGGGCTGGAACAGCACCCACCTGGCAGGAGAAGAGCAGCACAGTGGCCAGCCCCATCCAGCTGTGCAGCGAGTACATGTTGGGTGTCCCCTGGGAATCATGGAAGCGGAACACAGCCACCAGCCCCAGCACAGACAAGATGAAGGCTCCCAGTGCCAGCCCGCCATGCAACAACTTCCAGGGAAGCTTGGGACCGCTCCAGGAGCGTGGAATTCGGTACACCAGGGCAGCTGTGAGGGAGAAAGGTAGGGAAGAGCCGTGTTGGGGCCACGCCCACCTGGGCTTACGTGCTGGGCATGGAGGGGCACGGGTTTGGGCACCTGCTCACTGCCAGGCCTGCAAATGCCCCCCAAAACCTGGGCTCTGGCACCAGGGGTCCCCAAAACCTGGGGACACAAGGCTGCATGGCTCCCCCAGACCTGGGACACAGGGTCCAGTGGGTACCCAAAACCTGGGGCTCCCCCAAACCTGGAAACAGGATCCCCATAGCTTCCTCAAAACCTGGGACATGGGGTCTCTCTGCTCCCCCAAAACCTGGAACATGAGGTCTCACAGCTCCCCTAAACCTGGGGCTCCCCCAAACCTGGAGACATGGGGCCCCCATGGTTCCCCCAAACCTAGGGACACAGGGTCCCATGAGTCCCCAAACCCTGGGACATGGGGCCTCATGGCTCCCTCAAACCTGGAGCTCCCCTAAACCTGTCTGACTGCCCACAGCCTCCCAAGCCCTGGGGCTGTACCTGGGCCCCAGCACCCCCTGGGCATCACCAGGCTCCTCCATACCGACAGCCGCTCACCTGTGCTCACCTGCGCCGTAGAGCACCACCAGCCCTGTCACCATCAGCACTGGGTGCCAGTTGAATGTCCTTGTGCTGCCATCCAGGGAGAAGCCCCCACGCCAGTGCTGGCACCAGGTGGCCACCATGGCCATGCACAGCAAGCCCAGGGAGCCCAGCAGGGCGCAGAAGGGCAGGAAGGGCAGGTCCAGCATGGCTGTGGCGCGGCGGTGGCACCTGTGGGCGAGCAAGGCTTCTGGTCAGGCGCCGGTGGTGCTCCGGGGAGGAGCCACGGAAAGGGGAACCAGCAACCCCGAGGGAGTGGCAGGG